TCGAATATCACCCCGAACAAAGCAGGCCTCTTCAAATAGCATTCAACATACCCCCGGACCTTCTGCATCACTTTTGCAACATCCACAAGGACTCAAAACTTTCAGCCATCCTCACAGTCCCGGCCGAGGACCGGGTCGCGTCACTCGTTTTGTCCATCCCTAGAACTCAAGCGCTGCAAGAAGGTGATAAACTCGACTTGCCCGTGATATTCAACTCCGACTACCCCTTTCAATTTGCATGATCATTCAGCGTGATCAATTTCACCTCCACCAGCATCGCCTCGAAGGGACAATCCTTAGGAATCTTGCCTATATATGTCCCTTCCACTTCAAAAACGTCCCATAACTTTGTGGTTTTTCCAACTGTCGTTTCAGCTTCGTAAACGCGAATGCACCCGAGAAGTTTACTCGATTTTTGAGGACGAAAGACGATGAGACGATCTGTTGTTTGGCCTTCTATCAGTTTTGCGTTGTGCGTGGTCCAGCGATTATCGATTTCAACTTTTGAACCGTGGAATCTGGCTTCTATCTGGATGCTGACATATCAGTGTTTGAGCTTTTGATTTCACATTGGTAGTCAGACCTCTTTTGCTTTCTCCAAGATCTCCTCGTATCCTTCTGTATCTAAAGATATCCTCCTGTAGAGTTCATTCGCAGCCATGATTGCTTTGTGAGAGCGACGACTAAGAGTGAATAGACCCGGCTATTTGTGGATTGCGAGTGTCCGTACCTAACCCGAAAATCGTTCCTTGCGACAAGTTCGGAGGTCGTAGAGGACGTGGGGCGGATACCCCACCTCATCATGTGACAGCAGTTTTGATGGCTTAAAACACATTGGGTAGCAAAACTATGGTTTTTGGCAGGCGTGCTTTGCGGAACAGTCCACCCTTGCTCCAACATATTCGCCTCCACCTTTCTTCCCAGATCTTCCACGTTCAAACGGCTCCCTTGTCAAAGGTGAATATTTTCTCGACATCGGTCCATTAGACCTTTCTGTCCGAAGCACGCAGCGCAGCCTCGATTGAAAAGTCGGTAACCCCAATTGTTGCATGGGAAGCATTCACGGGTGGGATCATTGTCGTTCGTATCGGGTGATAGTAGGTAGCTCATTGCAAGTTCCATGTCTCCACAGCTCGAACGACGTAAAGGGCCGTCAGAATTGTTCCTATGGCTGGTGGTTGCCATCAGAACACAATCCTAGTTGAAGCAAAACATCCAGCACCTGGAGAGGCAAAGAACTGGGAGATCGGCCCTTTCTTTGTATCTTGCTATCATTGTAGGTCAGTCGATCTATCTCTCCTGTTCCTTAAGGCTGAGTCAGACTTACCCTACCTGAAGGGCCTTGTCGGCATGTTAATAGCGACTCTCGACATATTGATACCACAGGGGACTAGCTGGCTGAGACGTCTTGGATGTCTTCCCAGAACAATTTTGAAATTGGACTGCCGATTACCGGGGCTTTAGAAAAGGAGGAGCTTCATGTTGCAGGTGCAGAGGATGCATCTTGATATTTGAATGAGCCTTAAGGGAAGACGAAGTCAAGCAACAGTCTTGGGTACGTACTTGGCAGAAAGACGACCCTGACAAAAAACCCTGACAAAAGCCTACCAAGATGGCATTTCAATGCACTCGTTAAAATTGGTCGAAGATGATCAACAGCGGCCTGAGAACCTTTCATCCAAGCAGTCCAAAATTCTCAACAGCGAGTCCATGAGTTGACTTCGGCTAGATGGTCTAGAACCCAATTAGATCATCCCTCGCTCCAGTCTTATGCAATTCGGATGGGGATACGGCGATCTCACAAACAATGACCAGGTTACCCAATGATCAGATACCCATGGTTCGTGCACTTGTTAATACAAGCTAGAATATGGGACAGAGCAAACAGAACGGAACTGAACTGAACTGAACTGAACGGAACGGAACTGAACTGAACGGAACGAAATGGGACAAAATGATCAGCCAGTAGGAATGACTTCCTATTCATCAGCAAGCTCAGTACTTTGTCTCGAACGAGATCGAGACCGTCAGGGACTCGCTTCCTCGCTGCCGAATGTGCTCGTCAGAGCTATAAAGCCGTCAGCCTTGTTCCCGATTGCACACCGCAAGTTGACACAGACAAGCTTCGTTGCTTTCTATTCATTATCTACTCAACTTTACTCACGCCTGCTCCTGCACGTTCCTTTCAGCCATGCTTGGCATCTTATTTTATCTGGGGCGGTGCTGGAGTATTCTATGTGGTACCTTTTCCTTCTGCCTAGAACTCATTCGTGGCACCTCATCAACATTGGATATTGAGCGTCAGGCGGGTCACGATAAGGCACGATTGCATTCCTCCACCGCTCACAATCGTGTTATCAAAATATCCTGACGTATGATGTGAGCAGGGTGATAAGTTCGATTGTCAAGTGCATTACTACGACCAAGCGGCTCAAGAGAGGAGCAAGACGAGACGGAGCTCTGGCCTTCTGCCTAACTTCATCGATGAGATGCGTCTCTATCCCAAAGTCAGCCCTGTGAGTACGAAATATCTTGGATAAGCTGGTTTTAAGTTGACCAATATACTGACAGAGGTCTGTGGACAGAAAACCCCCATTCATTATGTGAATGGCGTTGAGAGTCTGGCTTCTGATAATACATCCTCTCAGGATACTCTTGTTGACGTCGTGAACCCGGATCTTAGTTTGGGCGTCACGGAATCAAGAGACCACGACCTGTCAGCAAATCAACAAGGGCGCAAGACGAGCCAAGGGTCTAGTGTCTTTAGTGGTAAGGTGTCTCTCAACCAGGACATTGCCTTCGCAGCAGGCAAAGATGGAACTTCACCAGAGATACCGGAGGTGCTGAAGCTGCTCACTTGGAATTGGAAACCGCGTGATGCACAAGATTCTAGTGCCGAAAAGGTCGCATTGCATCTTATCTCCGAGAGTGAGGGATACTTCCACTGTGTTCAATTCAAGGACTGGGTGGAGGAAGCAACAGATTCTTCAGGTGCCGCGAGATTCCTCGAGTCGAAGTATGATTGTCTAAGTGCAATGCTTTACTACTATCTCAGAAGACATGCGGAAGAATATGGAAAGTACTTGGATGTGCAGAAAGTGAGTTTAGATTCCATTCCTCACCCGTCCGTCTATTGCTTATACTTACGGCCCCAAGGTCTTAGAGAAAGAGGCAGACCCTTTTCTATTCCACGCAGTTGAGCATGCCTGCAACTGCTTTATGAGACGGAAATGGGTCGAACACAGTATCAATTTTCAGTTCATTACGGATCCGCTTGAAAGAGTTCTTTCCAGAAACAGTCCAATTCAGGATATGAAACTCGACGCTTTAGCAGTACGCTTTAGACGCTGGTATAGTAGTCCTGAGCGCGTCTGGTTGCAGGAGTTTGACACTCGGACTGACTTTCTCGACCAATTGTACCACATGAAGCCTGAGGCATTGGCAATCCAGCTTTCGAACGCGGATCTCTCTCTCTTTCAAGGACTTACTGTTGACAGTCTTATAAAGGGCAGCGGCGATGTACTGTCGGCTCTTAATACCCGTTGGAACAACCTTTCCTGTGAATCAGAGGAATGTTCGACTGCGGGCTTTCATTCAAAGTTGGTCGAATTGATTCAGGTGAATTCGAATTCGTCATGCCTTTATTCTTGCCTCTGTTAATATTCGCTCCAGGAGCTTTATCGTCTGAGTAACTTTTACTCGTTGACAGCAATCCTTCTGGGAGTCCAGTCAAGAGGGAGGCGACTATCAGCGCTTGAGGAATTTAACTATCTGATGGATTCTAACGAAAACTACTTGCTGTATAGGCAGTGCGTTTCTCCTGGGCCTGCCCTTCACTTTCTACTCCCTTTCATACGGATCCGACTTCGAAAGCCTGCGGCTGCTTTGATGGTAGTATCTGCCGCTACGGAATACATGTCAAATGCTAAGCTGAGGCTCTCGCCCTACAAGTAGCCTTCTGCCGTTCGTGTGTTTTCTAGGTCTGCGGTTAGATCGAACTTTCTCATTACCACTGTCCTCTTCTTCGATGTATTTTTATGTCCTTGTTCACTCAGCTTCTTTATCCTTTAGCTGGTATTAGATCAGGACTGGAAACGGGAAGTCACTAAATGTCCAAATCAAACAAGTACTCTTAATCTGATGCAGTATAGATCGCATGCCTTTTCTTCTCTTGTCCGGACTAGCGAGCAAGATCCGATGTTTCCGGTGACTTAGGACCATGAGGAGAGCAGGAGATGTTTTAAAAGACGACTGGGAACGACAGACATCCCGTGGGCGGGTTAGAGGGGATTCTGTCACCAACTTCACGCAAGTGGGGGAGATCAACATTGACGATGAGGCGATCGGATCGATTGCACGGTACTTTGACGGGCAAAACACATGGGAGAACTCTTATTAGAGCTCTGAATCCGGAGGAACTCAAAAGTCCTCGGTAAAGAGCTAGAATCGACAGAAGGCTATCCTCGAGACCAGTTGACGACTACTGAGCCGCCGTGGCTCGTCCGCGGCTCATGGTCGTCCCAACTCCGAGGAAATTGCCACAACATCAATAGGCGGTCAAGGATGGGAGGTATCGATCGCGCCTACGCGCAATGGGCTCAATCAGTTTCTATTTTTTATTTTCTCTTCTCTATTTAATTGCTTTGAGAAGCTGCGACCACTTGACCAAGACACAAGCTGCATGGTTGCCTTCAGGACGGCTGAGACTTCGCCTTTGTCCATCACCTGCTGAATAGTATAAGGATGGAAGAAACAATCGCCGAGCCACACCTCAGCAACAGAAGCTCCGAGAAGCGGCAGAGCACTGTGAAGAGGAAGAAAGAGTACCTTTGCTTTTGAACGAGACGGTAGATAATTTTGTCGAAATAATCATCAAGCCCTCCATGAGTGGAGATTATTCAACTATTCTCCGGAAAAATACCTGTGCCGGGAGCCGTGAGTAGCCAACCTCACCTAGAGATCGCCCATCCGTATTTGTCAGTGGTCGTCACGAAGCTTCCCCTTTCCAACAGTTGATGGCACGATCACAGCTCCCCAGACTACAGAAGGCTCTTTCTGCAGGCAGAGGAGAGGCTGAGGCAGGAAGAAGAGAGGAGGAAGCTCGCAGAAGATGAAGGACGACGCGAGAAAGAGCGGCGGGAGCAGGCCAAATCACAACGAAACCAGGTTGAAGAACGCACCTGTCAGAAGACTTTCCTGGAATCCCTACGCCACTGCCACAACCTACTCTCCCGACCTTTGAAAGTCGCAACCCCGTCTCGCTCGACCACCGAAACGATACCCCTCCCTAAGGGCAAACATTGCCCGACACGACTGCGTCCATGGACGGATTGTGTCCGTCAACAGCAAGCCATCTACGACAGGGTATGCACCTACCTACAATCTACTGATGAATTCCGAGACAACACTTCCCTCCCGTCATTACACTTGAAGAGTTTGCTAGGCGTTTCGCTCTTCGGCCCATCAGCAGTGAACAAGGCATCGAGACTTCTGGACGGATCGCTGTGGAAGATCATGTGCGCGATATTATTTGAGAGCTGTGCAAGATTCTGGCTGCTCGAGAGGAGTTTATGCTTGGTGATGGTATTTAGTTCGACAACCACACCAATGCGTTGACCGAAAGCCAGGCCGAATTAGACGCAAATCATCCTCATATTTCACGCCGTCCGCGGCCTGACCAATTTCGCATTCACCGCGTGGGCGGTAGCACCAATTCCCTCCTCCTCGCCGTTGAACGTAAGCCACCGCATAAACTTTCCGTGGAGACCCTCCAGGCGGGAATACGACCGATGGAATTGTGGGAAGAGATGGTCAAATGCAACACAGTACCTACGAACCCTATAGAGAAACTTAGATACGAATGGCTCGTCCAATTCCGGCTCTCAAACTTGACTATTGCGTAATCCCATGGGTTATGTGAAAACGTCGATTCAAATGTGAAGCTTCAGGACTGATATTACGGACTATCGTGTACTAAGGAACATATCGCACCAAGCGCCGAACCGCTCGACAACAGCGAGGATCAAGATTATTATCCACATGACTTTCCTAGGTATGCTGCTAGATATACATCTCCTGTTTGCCGAACTCCTTCGAAAATTTCTGATTCGATTCCGCGGCTAACTCCAGGTATTTATAGCTTACCTGGCTAGCATCTGCCTCAGCGAGAGCATGTGCGACTGCTGCGATGTTTTTGATCTGGTGTATGCTAGTTAGCCTGTGAGAAGTGCAAAGCAGCGCTTTAGAACCCACCTCTCGTCCATTGAGAGCTAAAGACTCCAGTCGTCGGAGGTCGTGCTCCTCGATCATAGCAGGTCCTTGGACTGTACGTGCCCTAGTCAGAAAAGTTGACCACAGACCCTTGCGAAAATCCCTGCTTAAGTCTTTGTACTTGATGGTTAAATGAATCCGACTAAGGATCGCCTCATCAAGCTGGATACCGCGATTCGAAGTTAGGAAAAGAATTCCTTGATAATATTCCAGCTTTCGGAGGAAAACGGTCACCAGGCGATTGTGAGTACCGTGGTAAGATGTACGCTGCTCCATGAACGCATCTGC